GAGGGGGGGTGGGGGAGGGGGGAGGAGCGAGGCGAGAACTGAATTAGTAAATGAAAACTCATGTTTCCATATTTATTTACAAATGAGGTCACCATTTCAACAGACAATGTGCTTTGTGTAGCATAATAATATGTTATTTTCGACCACGTCGACACGATTTAATCAAGTCAATTTTAAAGGCTGGTAGTATCGTCACTGCTTGTAAGTACCAACCCTGGCTGTGCTCTCTCGTACAATATATACAACATTTGATAAATAACAAAGACATAAATATTAAGTCATAATATCTGTCCAAGAGGCGTCTAATCTTTAAAAGGCATCTCCAGTGACCAACGCGGAAAAAATGCTACGTTTATGCATGAGAAAGCAACGGCGGTGACTGAGAGAAGATCAAAGCGTTATTGCTGTCTATGGCAAAGTCATGAGCTTGTAAAACGTTTGTGGTTTTGTTAGGGTGGGTGGCCGAGTGAGCTATAACAATACAGAGAAATAATTATCGTCTTTCAATCACAGGAAGGCAGGCATGCGAGGGAGCAGTGCATGCATGCTGTTACCTGGCACAGAAAGGTCCACGCTGTCCATAGCCAGACCACTGACCGGATGTCCGTAGGGGCTCTGGTCAGTGCTGGAGGGCGGTGAGAGGCTATGCAAAGAGCCTGTGCTGCCCGTTGGTGACACAGGTTGTTGTTTGACCACTGAGCCGGTCGGGTAGCCGCCTCGAATTTGTTGGCTGTTCCACTGATACAGTCCGGACATTCCGCCATTACTGCTACCCACGTGACCAGCAGCGGAGACAGAGGAGGGATACAGGCCGTGGTGGTGCTCCCTGGGAGAGTACAGGGACATTGGAGGTAAAGATGACAGATCAGAGGTCGAGGGGTCACGCGAGCTGTAAGGTGGGAGGGACGAAGGGTGGTGATTTTCTCGTAAGGACGCGGCATTCCCGGCGTCTTTTCCGTACACTGAAGATGATGAGTCTCCTCGTGTGTTGGAATAGGAGGAGGGGAGGGAAGAGAGCGGTGGGAGGCCTTCACCACCTCGTACCATGCCCGAGGTGTCACCGCGAAGACCGCTGTACCCGGAGGGACTACTGCCCGGGTATTTCCCGGCGGCAGTTGTGCCACTGTCTCGTCCAGTTGTGTCCCCTGTCACAGCCGAGGATGGGGACAACATCGACTCTCGTGACGACGATGGGAGACTCGGGTGGTGCGTGCTGGTATCTCGTGACGTATGGTCCGACGTGATGGCCCCGTCTCGTTGGTACAGCACGTCACTCCGAGACGAACTCCCTGAATCGCGCATGGCAACGGCGGCGGAGCCCATGACGTCACGGTCATATGCCGGTGGCGTCACGTTGCTAGGGGCGGGGTACCCTCCTGCTGCTGCTGCCGCTGCTGCGGTATGTCCTAGGCTCGATAGATTGTAGTCTGGAGTCATGCCGCTGTTGATGGAGGAGAGAGGGTGGTGG